AATTTACTTCGTGATAACCCTTGTATCATTCCTCAAGAGTGTGACGAAGTTTGTTTTGAAAATTTGCTTTGAAAGGTGTTTGTGTGAAAAGTTTTTATTGAGCAAGTACTTAAGATTCTACCTACTCAAAAAAAGATTGTTCGTTCTCGTTTCCTTTAGACAACGCTATCCTACTATTAAGGATTAGGTAGCCCCGTCGTTGGAGTTTGTAAGGGACATTCGAAAGGGCCAAGTATAATCACTAAAGAAACAATTATAAAACTTTAGTAGTAACCCTAGAGTCTTCAGATCTTTCCGAGGTAACATTTCCGAGGCAACATTCGAGTGGGACATTTTGATCTTTTAGACTGGAGGGCAACCACTAAAATCTCCTATGCTTAATGACTATTTACCGAAGGAAGCCGAAGTGAGGTAAACCCTAGGAGTGAATATGTGCATGTGAATTATTTCAGTTATATAGTCTTCGCACATTAGGTGATCTACCGTTTTAATTTCAAGTAATCTTCCCATACAATCCTATTAGCATACATCTAGACAGTTAAATATTTGCAGAAACTTAAAGTGCAAAAAATAAACCTAGCTATTACAAGGCTTTGACAATTAAACAATTGTCTTAACGAAAGATAAAAATGCGGAAGCTTAAAACCCTAATTAAAACTATTACAAACTCGAAACAGTTACAATAATAATAAAACAAATTAAAATGCGCGCGGAAAATTAAATGCGAGAAAAAATTGAAACCCTAAAAATCTAATTGAAAAAATATTTAAGTTATTTTTTTATAGAAAAGACTTAATTAGGTTATGTACAATTAAAACCCTAATTCTAATCATTTTTAATTAAAAAAAGAAATTGGAGTTAACCTAATTTAAACTAAATTAAATAATTCAATAAAATATTTTGTAAAAGAGATTTTATGTATTTTTATGGTTTTTTATTTGAGAAAAGAAACAATTTAATTACAAAATTTAAACCTAATTTCTATTTAATTTTAATTAAAACAAATAATCAAATAAACTAATTAACCTAATTTATTTTCAAAAATATTAATTTGAATAAATAATATTTAATTCTTTATTTTTTGTGATTTTTTAGTTTTATAAAAAAAAATTGTGTTAATTAATTAAAACAATTAAAGAAATTAATTAAAGAAATTAAAAAGAAATAGAAAGAAAAGCAAACTGGACATGTATGTTGTTAGCAAATGGGGGGGGGTGCGATTCTGAAATTCCAAGCCCAATAGCCCTTCAAGCCCAATCAACGCATGATTTCCTGTGGTGTTGACCTGGGGGTGTATCATAGTCTCTCATTGCTTATGCGTTAGATCTGAGACCATACTTGATCAAGTGGCTGGATGTTGGTGATGTATGGTGGACACCAGGATGAGAGCTGCACACAATCCATAAGTGGAAAAATTGAAAATAAGCGTTGTTGGGACCTGGGATCGAACCCAGGTCCTTATGTTTACCAACAACATGCCTCTGCCAGCTGCACTATTATGACTTGTTGTTAATACAGTAAAAACAAAATATGATATAAAGAAAACAAATTGCTAAATCCAACACGCGCAAATTTCAAATAAACCAATAGGGTGATGCCAAATCATCTTCTTCTACCTCCAAGCCGTCGTCTTAGGTACATGACCTATACCTACAGACCATGTCCGTCGCTATAACCTGCGTGCTTCAAACATCAAAAATATACATGATAAATGAATTCAAGGACCAGGGATTGATTGGTCTTGATGCCACGTGTTGTACCCCAAAATTTGCCCTCCCATATTTCTCAATACATTTCAAGAAAGATCCTCAAGTTGCTCAAGGAAGTCCAAGGGTTGACCAGACAAGCTCTCTCCTAAGGCAGTCTACCTCAAATTAGGGTTTCATGTTGCATCAATATACTTGAGTCCAAGGGATCCCAAATTCTCACCGTTGTCCTAATATGTTCTCAAGATCATCCATGTCAAGTTTCAAGCCTTACAGAGGAAGTTTGCTCAGTCAATTGCTCAAATGCCTGAAAATCGACCATGCTAGGGCAAAAGTCAAATGTGGCCCACATGTAGTCAAACTTCAAGATTTTTGGTCAACATTCTCATTTTGAAGTATTATGCATCATTTTATCAAGGGTTGATCATGATTCATCAAAGATTGCTCACAATTCATCAAGAACCAAAAGTTGCTAAATTAGGGTTTTGTAGGAAAAGTCAACTCAACTTTGACCAAGCATAACTTTCTCATACTTTATGAGAAATGACCCATCCAAATATGATTTTGAATAGGATGCAATGCTCTACAATCCATCTTCATCTCCCAAGTTCAAAATATTCACTCATAAGAAGTTATGAATTTGGACATTATAGGTCATTTTGAAAAGTCAACAAAAATACCTTTTTTGTCAAAGCTTCATACTTGAGAATGGAATACCAAATTGAGATGAGACCAAAATGGTTGCTTAGAGTACATCTCAATATTTCTAAAAAGTCCAAGAAAACCTTCGAAGAGTCAAAATTGAGGAAGCTATGCATTGGTGAAGTTGACCCTTTTTGCAAAATTATCAAAAGTCAATTATGCCTCAAATTGCAATTTTTGCCAAATGGGCCCAATCTTTTGCACTTGTTTTGAGTTGGCAACATGGTCCACGAGCCCTAGCCCTTTCCACTTGTCATTATCTTGTTTTTATTATTTATTTTGATTTTGATTTGAATTAAATCAATTTTAATCAAAACAAATCATGGAAAAATCCAAAACATTGATATCTCAAGATATTATGCTTGTTTCAGATCCTATATCCAGTTGGCAAGTATTTGAGTTCGTGCAAGGGCTATGTGTGCACAAAAAGATTGAGTTTTCTCTATTTTTAGCAAGATTTTCAAGTGTATCAAATCCAAATCAAAAGCAATGATGGAGGAAGATTGAGATCAACTTTTCAACCCTAATCTAATCCTTGATATATATTGAGCATGTGCAGACCTAAAACAAGGCTAGAGAGAGGCGCAGAAGGTAAGAACAAACTTGCAAAAAACAAAGTAAAGTGCTGAGTTGAAATCATACTTACAGGCAATTACAAATCCTCCTGATCATCATAATCGTTTCCTGGGATCACCAACAAGCAAAACCAATCAAGAACAAGCACTCCCAGGCCCTGTAACTCGCTGTAAGTCAGTCACGACATTGTTATTTTCTTGAATTCGAATTGCATAATTGTGGCATCTATAGCATGAAATATTTGTAGATTCTTGATCTTGGGAACATTTGCAAGCCTTCTTTAATATTTAATTGCGTTTTCATGGCCTGTATTAGAGTTTGCCATTGTTAGGGTTTGTGGCTTCGATTTGGGATTTCTGTGTGCAGGTAAAATTGGGCCATGAAAGGGGCACCATTGTGCTCAGCAGGTCCAGACGAATCCATTCATGGCTTTGGTAGTTATTTATCTCACTTGTATTTGATTTTGAGAATGACAGGGGCTGTAGCTACGAGCATATGTCCGTAGGTAAAAGTGTTCAACTTTTACCAACGGAGAAAGGTTGGGGATGATGGCGTGACAGGCTTAATAAGAAGCATAACTCTGCTGGTGGCCAGGTCATTGGAACATGCCTTAGGGCCTGGGTTCGAATCCCAGGTCCCCCAAATTGCTTCATATTATTTTCTTTTCAGTGATCATATGCGCACATAGGGCCAAGGACTACCATACATTCTCATAATCTAACTTGCCAAGTGTCCTGAGATTCAGATCTGAAGGCCATCATTGAAGGAGCATCATAGGCCATGGTCAAAGCAGTGCACTGGATTCAAGAATGTCAACATGGATCAATTCTTTTGGGCCAAGAGCTTGCTATCCACACCTCACCAATCACTTTCAGGCCCATATCTCTTTCTATATTCTTTTTTCGTTTTTCTTAATTAATTTAATTAATTATTTCACTAACACAAAATAATAATTCTTTTTATCAAAAATCACAAAAATAACCTTTTCACACTACAAGAAAATTAGTGTTTAACGACACAAAAATTGCGACAGTTATGTGATAACTGTCGTAATTGACATATAGAGACAGTGTTTACGACAGTTGACACCAACCGTCCCTAATATTTATTTTGCGACGGTATATTTAACCATCATAATATTATTATTACGACGGTAAAACAACCGTCGGCCCCCATTTAACACGTTTAACATTGATTTTTCACCAACAACTAGTCACGACGGTAAAATTAACCGTCCTAAAAGGTATATCACGACGGTAAAGCACCCGTCGCACCCTTAAACCTTTCACGACGGTAAAATTATCCGTCCTAAAATTCATTTCACGACGGTAAAACAACCGTCGCACCCTTAAACCTTTCATTTGAGTTTGAATATATTGAATTGATGTTAGGTTTTCTAATTTGTTGTTTTAGGGTTTTATTTTTTTTAATGATTTTTTAGGATAATATTTGGTTAGGATAAAATATGTATCGTCCCTTATCCATTCTATGATACTGAATTTTGTTCAAACTCAAGCCATAAATCTTCCAACAACAACCGATAACATCATCATCATCATCAATGACAACCTTTTCAACTGAATTCTTATCACACACTCTCAATTTCAGAAACCACCCAAACCGCACTTCTCGCCGTTCAAATCCCAACACTATCGTCACTTCCTCAACCCCGGGCAACACCAACAACCGAAGAACAAGAATCAGGGTCAATGAAACAAGGCCAAAACTTGATCAAGATTACGATGAAGCTCTCATTAGGTCATTCAAATCAGCTAAGTACAATCGAGCTCTCCGCTTTCTTAAGCGCATGGTTGACAGGGGTTATAAACCTGATGCCATTCTCTGCCATTCTCTTCATCATCTTCCTCTCCATCTTTGATATTTCACTTTTCTTTATAACTGAGCAGAGATTTCAGAGATTTCTGAGTTTAGTTTCTGTATCATCTATTCTTTTTTAGCCACTATCCATGTTCTAGCCCTTTTCATTAAACTAGCCTTCATTGTTTTCTTAAGCGCATGTTGTTACTGCCTCTATTGGTTGCTTTGCCAGGCTTGAATGTAGTCGAGAGCCGAAAAACACTGGCTGTGGAGCACTATGTTGAGTACTGTGCTGTGAGCTGCAGAGCTTACAGTGCCTCAGTGACGGAGTTTGGAGCGGTTGGCGATGGACAAACTTCGAACATGCGGGCCTTTCAGACGGCTGTAGATCATCTGAGTCAGTACTCGTCGAACGGCGGGTCTCAACTTTATGTTCCACCAGGAAGATGGTTGACTGGTAGTTTCAATCTCACCAGTCATTTCACTTTGTTCCTACACAAAGATGCAGTCATTCTTGCCTCTCAGGTTTGATTATTAGCTTAACTAGTCTTGTACATCTATATGAATATGCAAATGTGATGTAATTGAAGTGCTTTGAATGTTGATATTATGTTCGTGATGTGACTTTTTAGGACGAAAGTGAGTGGCCGGTGATTGAGCCCTTACCGTCTTATGGTCGAGGGAGGGACACTCAAGGCGGACGATATAGCAGTCTAATTTTTGGAACCAACCTCACTGATATAGTCGTAACAGGTAACTTATAAGATCGATGATTGTTGTCAGTTTGCCTGCTATTTCTGTGTAATCGAAGATTGAACTGTACAATCCGGTTATGCTTTTGGGAACTAAAATTCGGTTGCTTTAACTATGAATTTGAATAGGGGACAATGGAACATTAGATGGACAAGGTGAAGTGTGGTGGCAAAAGTTCCATAAGGGGGAGCTTAGCTATACCAGGCCTTACCTGATTGAAATCATGCACTCAGATGATATTCAGATATCGAATCTGACTTTGGTTAATTCTCCATCCTGGAATGTTCATCCTGTTTATAGCAGGTTCATCTTTTTCTCTTTGTGGTGTCTGTTATCAATTATCAATCTGCTACATTATTGTTCTGAGTTTTCTGATATAAAGAAATTGAATGCAGCAACATTGTTGTTCGAGGCATCACAATTCTCGCTCCTGTGAATTCGCCAAATACAGATGGGATCAACCCTGGTAAGTTAAGTTAGTATATACATCTTTTTCAAGATGCTGCGATGTATAGTCTAGTATATCCGGGACTGATTGTGGTTTATGGTTTATGGCACAGACTCTTGCACGAACACGCGGATTGAGGACTGTTATATAGTGTCCGGGGATGACTGTGTGGCTGTGAAAAGTGGTTGGGATGAGTATGGTATAGCTTATGGAATGCCAACTAAGCAGCTGGTGGTTAAAAGACTCACTTGCATTTCTCCAACCAGTGCTGTGATTGCTTTAGAAGATTAGCACTAACACCTCATGTCTGAATATTGGAGCACCCCAATTGTGGGGTTGTATTTATGGTGTGAATATTGGAGCACCCCAATTGTGGGGTTGTATTTATGGTGTGAATGGTAGTATTTTTTAAAACAAAAAATGTTAGTTTTATGTTTGGATGGGGATCGGACCTCCAACCTCCTTTTCACTCCCGTCCTTATCTCCTCCACCCTACCACCAAGCGAAGCCACTCTTATATTCCCTATGTGGATGTGAGTTAGTGTAGATAAATTATCAAATTTTCTCTTCTCATGATGATATTCTTCATTTATCTAAAGGTATGGTACAATTACAATAGGAGGAACATTGCAAGATATTTTGACTGATTATCACCTTGTCTTTAACTTCTATTTTCTATACTATTAGTTCTGTATTGTTTATGCCCTTTACTTTGTGTGTTGGACAGGATGATGCACATATTTTCTGCAGGGAGTCCCAGGTGTGTTAACGTAAATTTATGTAATATAATTTTTATGATATCTTTTAAGCTGAAGCTGAAATTATTCTATTAATTCATTTTGCAGGTTAAAGATGAAGTGAGAAAAGCCTTGGACTTCATTGATTATGTCTATCAAATATTTGGTTTCACATATGAACTGAAACTTTCAACGGTATGAACTGAAAAAACCTACATATTGTTGATTGAAGGGATTTAATGGATCTTGATGAGTGCTTACGCCAGTTGAAATTTCATTTGCACCATGCTCAAGTTAGAATGAAACCTTTAGCTGATGCTCACAGGAATGATGTAGTTTCAAGTTCGTGATTGGGTTTTCCTGAAATTGCATCCGCGTGTTCAGCAGTCAGTAGAGGTGCGCATCAGTCCCAAGTTCGCTCCACGTTATTATGGTCCATTTATGTTGCTGGCTAGCTAGAATTGGAGAGGTGGCTTACAAGCTGCAGCAACCAGCCACAGCAAAGACACACCCTGTCTTCCACGTGTCTTTGCTTAATAAATTGTGTCCGTCCTTGGACCTTGTTTTTGATTGCTTGTGAATTTAGAAGCTTTTATTTTCATTTCATTTAGTTGGCAAGGATATACCTAATTTAAAATTTTGTACCAGGACAAGTCTAGACGATGGACAGATCAACTGCATAAATTATATCTGAGTTCTTTAGAGGCCTCATTTGTGAATGAGTTGCATCGTTCTTGTAGTGAAAAGTATATATGGTCGCACTTTCAAAGATGAGAATTTTAAACTCTCTCATACTGGACCCGGAACTGTTAGTATGGCTAATGCAGGTCCCAACACCAATGGGAGTCAGTTTTTCATATGCACCGTCAAGGTACTCCATAACTTCCTTTCAATTCATATCTGCTTATCAACTTCATAACTTCCATTTTCAACCTCTCTTACTTTCAATTCATATCTGCTTATCAACTTCATAACTTCCATTTTCAACCTCTCTTACTTTCAATTCATATCTGCTTATCAACTTATTTGGCACAGACGCAATGGCTTGATCAGAAACATGTTGTTTTTGGCCAAGTTTTGGAAGGCATGGACATTGTTAGATTGATTGAATCGCAAGAGACAGATCGTGGTGATCGTCCACGAAAGAAGGTTGTTATCAGTGACTGTGGTGAGCTGCCAATTGCTTGATATGTTTTGTTTTTTTGCCTGCTCCCTAACAAACCGAGTTCTTGCTCTCTGCAACTTTTTTTGTTTCACTACCATAATTCTCTATGACTTGAGTACCTTTCTTATTTTGATACTAGGACCTACAAACTCTTATCACCTATTTGTATTCTAGTAGAGCAATATAGTTGGAGTTGCTATCATATTGGTTGGGAGATTTTAGATCTTATTTGATTCTGAATAGTAAGTATCCTTAAAATAACCCAAAGTGCACAGATTCAGCATGGAATCAAATGTGAGGGAACTCTGGTGAAATTAAATAAGATTGTGATTGACTTTTCTAAGACATTCTATTACCAATTTTATGATTCTTTTCTTTTTCTGAACCATTGAGAACGTTGTAACTTCCTCTTGCTCTTTCAGAGATACCCTTCCTTCAAATATTTTAAGGTGGATCTTGTCTGGCTTAATTGTCACTACCACTAGTCTGCAAGACCGGAATGTGATTTATGATGTTGATGTTCCGCGTTCACATATCTCGTAGCTGTCTCTCTCATACACCCCTTTTCCTACCTCTTGTTTGTGCCTGTTTCAATTTATGTCAAAGAAAAAACTTACAACTTCACATATCTCCCAGTTTCATATTTGTTTATGGTACAAGCTGTGTAAAAGAAATAGGTGTTCTGGATGCTGACTCTGTCACAAAATATTCTATCTGCTATCATTCTAAAGATTCAGAGTTCTCTTTCACTCTGTGTACATATTAAAGATGCAGAGTTCTATTTTGGATCAAAAGAGTTCTAGATATGTTACTGAACATATTCAAGAAAAATAGATGAATGCTGTAGGTTCAACCATCGCTCTATCAAAGTTCAACCATCTTTCTCTCTTCGCCTATTCAAATCGATGATGAGCCACTTCGCAACGCCTCCACACGCCCTCAGAATCTTAGATATTGGAATACTGTACATGTATCGGTCTCTTGATGGGCCGCGAGATGATGCTCCAGAAAATGTTACCATTCTACATTAGATATTTCAATTCAAAAAGATTTTGGTGAAGATGGGACTATTAGTAAACTACTGTTCTTCACGCGGCTGCTGTGATGGAAAGCCACAAAGATGCTGTTCTTTTGATGGAAGCCGAGATTTCTTCATATTTATTCGTTTTATGTTTTAAGAGGACTTGGGGTTATAAAGAGGTGGAATAGTAATATTGTGAGGGAGAGGAGGGAGAATGATGCCAGGAGATGGAGTTCTACAGTTATTGTTTTTCGTTTCTATTCAATTTATCGTAGGGGAAACATGTCAAGGACGAGGAGAAGTGGAGATTGCCGAAGCTACTATGAGGGTTAGTTCGTAATTGATATTTCATTTCCATGGTCTCAAAAAGGAGTACATTGGGAGAAGATTCAGAGGGATCACAAAACAGAAGGTGTGAAGAGGTGATGTTCCCTAACTTTTCCACTATACCATAATAGTAGAGAAGCAAAATCTATTCAATTTGTAATGAACATTTAGTTGTCTCCTGAATTTGGATTCAAATGATAGTTAGTTTTTAAGCTGAAACTTAGCTGTCTCTTTAATTTCTTTGTTTTTATTTGTTTTCTTTTTCAGATGTGTTGTTGTATCATCTGATTTTAGAATTTATTGCTGTTGTTAACAAATTGTGAGATGGTTAATAAATGCTAGAATATGCATGGACCATGTAGTGTCTATGTCCTTCGTTTTCTGAATGTGGAATTATTGCCAAGTTATATTTATTAATCATGTGTGGAAAGTGTTGTTCAAGTACACGTTGCAGGCCCCCTTTCTTCCCTTGGTATTCTATTTCACAAGCCTTGAGGAATCTCTTTATCAGCTATGAAAAAGAGAGTGATGGAGAGGTTACATAACTCAGTTGAAAAGTTTCTAGAAGTTAGAAGTTTGTTTAAACTTGCCCTAAGATATTGCTTATGTTTTGTGTGAATCTTGCAGGCTGCTAGGTATGCGTAGCTTGGACCAAATGGTAGTCAAGGAAGGATCATGGTCCTAGCATGGAAGTTTAACACAAAATCACTTAACACTAAGGACTTTCATGAATTTTGTAGAATATTGTAACATTTTTTGTAATTCTCTCAAGTTGTAGCAAACCAATGTAAATATTAAAATGAAATTTGGCCTTTGATGATATTTGAATTTTTCTTGTTTATTGGTAAAATTTGCACTTCTTTTTACCTTTGATCACATTTTTTTGATATTATTGATGATTATTTGATATTAAATGTTTTTATTGTAATTAACTTTATTATGTTGAAAAGTGATAGAAAATAAAATAAAAATACTATAAATAAAAAAATATTAAAGTAAATAATAATTTAAATATAATAGTAAAATATTATAGTAAAATAATATTATATTTAAAATTATTTTACTAAATAATAATTTAAATAAAAATATTATTTGAAATTTATAAATCAGATTACGACGGTTAAAACCGCCGCAATTTCTAACCTACGGCGGTAGAATAACCGTCGCAAACAACAACAAAAACAAAAAATAAAGTCAAATTCACGACGGTATATAACCGTCGCTATCTGTTGTGCGTGACAGTTTTGCAACCGTCGCGAAATAGGCTGGGGACGCACGATTCTGCGACGGTACTTCTACCGTCGTAGATTGTAAATTGCGACGGTTTTAACCGTCGTAATCAGCCAAAATAACCGTCCCAATCTATCATTTTTCTTGTAGTGTCACCAAATTAGGTTTAGATTTTATTTTTTATCAAAAATTAATTAATTTAATTAGGTTATTCAATTTTAGGTAACTTTAATTATTTTGTAAATAAATTAAAATTAATTAGAACAATTAGGGTTTTATTTCTAACTTAATTATATTTTCTTTTTCTTAAAATAACCAAAAACATAAAAAATAGGCCATTTATTTATTTTCATTAATTAATTTAATCACTAATTATTTTTGTATTTAATTTAAAAACCTAATTCTTTTCTTAAAAATAATTAAAAACAATAAAAACAATTCTTCTTCCAATTAGGTTAGAAGGGGTCAAAACCCTAGTTCTCTCCCGATCTAAATTTCCTCGCGCGCGCTTTATCATTTATTTTTATCCTATTGATGTAATTGCTCACAAGTTGTAATAGTTTAATTAGGTCTTTTATTTTCATTTATCGCTTTATTTTTTAAGGGTTTGTTTTTGACTATTTAAATACCCGAAGCCTTGTAATAGCGTAGTTTAATTTCCGCACTTTAAATTTCACAAACTATTAATTGTTAGATGTATGATATAGGGATGCATGACAAGAATGTATGATTAACTTTAAAACGGTTAGATAACCCTAAAACGTGCAAAGATAATAAACTTGAAATTGAATCACTCGCACATGCGCACTCCTAGGGTACACTCCCACTTCGGTTGCCTTCGGTAAATGGTCATTGAGTATAGGATGTTTTAGTGGTCGTCCTTTTGTCTCAAAGATCAAAGTTGCCTCGGAATGGTTGCCTCGGATATTGTTGCCTCGAATAATTAATCTAAGACATTAGGGTTACTACTAAGACGTCCTAACATTGCTTTAGTGACCGTACGTCCCTTTCGAATTGACCCTTAAAACTCCAAACGACGGTGCTACCTACTCACTAATAGTGGGATATCGCTGTCTAAAGGAAACGAACATAGAACAATTCTTTTTTCGAGTAGGTAGATTAGTTCTTAAGTATTTTCTCAAATCCAAACAAACTTTTTCACACTTACACTCCTTTTCAAACAAAGTTTTCAAAAAGACTTTGTAACACTCTTGAAGACAGAAGTAAGAGTTAAATCAAAGTCAAAACAAAAACTTTTCAAATCACACAAACACACAAAGAAGCAATTTTGAAAATGATGAGCAAGTACCTAAGAGCCCGTGGAAAACCACGGATAGAAAGGGTGCTAATACCTTCCCTTTCTATAATCTACCCCCCGTACTCAGAAAATCTCGAAAAAGGAACTTTTCTGTGCTTTTTTCCTTTCCTTGTTGGATAAAAAAAGTCGGTGGCGACTCTTGCTTACCGCGACATTTTTGCAAACACAAACGCAAAACGCAAACCAACATTCCTAAAACAGTCCCGGTTCTGGCCACCGTATCATAGAACTGGCGACTCTGCTGGGGAGTTAATAAGTGGGGTATACCTTAGGATTAGTTCATCATATTGTTTTCTATTGTTTGATTTGATTTCTTAATTTTTGTGGGCTTTGTATCGGAGTTACTATAGATCTTAACCCGGATCTGGGGAAAACCTTTTAGGTAAGTAGCAATAAACTGTGAGGGAACTGTACGGCGTAGACCGATACAGTTGAAACAGTAGCTACGTTGATGTGGCACATTAGTTGGTACCGGTATCTCTTGTGGAGGAACAAGGAGAATACGAGGCTGCTATATGGGTCGTTAAGCATCAAATGACCTTAGAACCTATAATTCACCAACTTGGCCATAGGAAGTAGTGAGATAGCCTGTCTCAGTGTAGAGCTGGGAACTGGTTGATACTCGATGCTACACTCATTGAGACCATACTCTCGAGATAGTTCCGACTGCAAGAAAAGATTGTGTAAGCTGAAACCATGACCAATGGAGGATGGTCAGTGATATTGAGAACCTCTAGAACTCAGTTACTATTATTAGGACAGGTTGAACCAACTGAACTCCAAGAGGGTAGTACCTAGACTCCATGCAAGCCTAAACTTAAGGGCTATTGTGTGACTTGTTTTCCTTTACCATGTTTGATACCTGCTATACCTGTTGTGTGTTTATCATGACATCATGCATCGTGACATAGCATGCATATTTCATTCACTAACCATTTCAAAGACCGAGCAGATTCATCTTTGTTCTGTTTTGCAGATCATGGCCTCTATGCACAGAAATACCATTCGAGTAAACTTCGTGCAAATCCCTGCTCAGCTCAGAGAGTCGGTCTCAATAAGTTCCTGATAATTCTTCATTTGTTAGAAGACATGGTCATCTCCTTACCCTGGTCACTTCAAAGTTGGATGAGCAACTGATGAGCGTCCTTTTTCAGTTCTTTGATCTGTTGCATCATTGTTTTACCTTCTCGGATTATCAGCTAGCCCCTACTTTGGAGGAGTTTTCTGATTTACTGGGTATATCCATTCTCGAGCAGACACCCTTCACAGGTTTGGAGGAGGTTCCTAGGCCAGAGGATATTGCTTCAACCCTACATCTAAAAAGGGTTGATGTAGTGTCCAACTGGGAGACGCGGAGTGGGATTAAAGGTTTCTTGACTAAGTTTCTGATTGATCTAGCTCAACAGTTCAGGGATAAATTGGATTTTCAAGCATTTGAAGACATCCTGGCTCTCCTCATCTACGGCTTGGTCCTGTTCCCGAATCCAGATTCCTTTATAGACGTGAATGCGGTCAAAATCTTCATGTCTCGTAACCCGGTGCCTACTCTTCTAGGTGACATTCTGCATGCTCTCTATACCCGTACTGTGAGAAGAAGGGGGACCCTCATGTGTTGCACGCCGCTGTTGGCGAGGTGGTTTATTTTGCACCTCCCCAAATCTGTATTGAAGAATGAGGAAGGTGTAGGTTGGGCTTACAGAATCATGTCCCTTGCTCATACGGACATCCTTTGGAGTTCTAAAGATATGGAAAGGGTAGATGTCATTGATCGATGTGGGGAATAACCTAATGTCCCTTTGCTTGGAATTCGAGGGGTATAACCTACATTCCTTGTTTGGCTTTACGAAAGTTTGGACGAGCTCGGAGAGATGGTCCTCATGAGCTGCTGCTTACAGATATTGTCTTTGACTACAAGGGGGCGTTGATGGGCATCGCCGCAGGTTTATACGAGCTTGGGGAAGGGTGAATAGGTATGACCCACATGAGCTAGGACTGAAGACTTCTCTCCCGATGCAACCTTATCTCCAGTGAGTTCGAGCCCGTGCTCAAAAGCTGGGGATGCCATATGAAGTTGTTTTGTCGGTGGTTGAAGAGATCTTGGATCCAGTTAAGGAAGAAAGGGATACCTACAGGGA